ACATGTGCTTATAATCCCATCATGCCCAATGTTACCAAGCAACGGCGACCTATAATATCAAGTCACAATACATTAACTATGGCTCAGGACGGGATTCTATACTAAGTACTAATAGCGGCATGAGCTATTTGTCACGCGGGTCGACGATATTTGACACATTGGCATTTTGAACATAACAAGAAGGTTGTCGCATTTTTGAAAAAAGTAAATTCTTATTTTAAATTTTGAATATCATCCCAGTTTGTTATCGAAATGTCAATTCTTTTTTTTTTTTTTTTTTTTTTTTTTTTTTTTCGATTTTTCCACACCTTCTCAAGCAAAAGCTGCAACAGCTGCATCAATATTATTACATGTGTAGACCTTCTGTAGTGGCAACGTCGTAAATGAGTGTATTTTGGAACATTTTTGCAAAAACGGAAGTGCCACAGGTCCACATGTGCAAAAAGTCGAAAATCGGCTCTAGAAGGCGCATTTTTGCATCGATTTTCTTCGGATTTTCATTTTTACAATCTATCTGTTATTTCTGAACTGAAAGCCCTTGAAAAATTACGAAATTCGAAAATTCGTAGCTCACTTTTTTCGATCAAATTTTTCAACTTTTTTGTTTTTGCATCGATTGATCTGAAATTTAATATGCAAAGGGGTATCACTAAAGTAAATAATATGTAGTTGTCAAATATCTAAATTCATTTCCGGTTTTAGACGGGGAATCAATTGAAAGTACAATCCACTTCCGGTCGAATAACTTCCGGTGTAATTGAAATAGGTCAACGAAATTTATGCTGTTCGTAAGTAAATGCTATTACAAAAAAACGAAGAAAAAAAAATCCAGACCGGAAGTGATCTACAATCGATTGCCAACAAACACTAGGAAGCCGATTTTTGAATTTCGCTTTTCATTTTTTGCAACTTCCGGTTGAAGTTTTTGCAAGTTCTATCTCGTGACCTTGACCTTTGATGACCTTGACCTTTATAGGGTTAAAGGTCATTGACCTTGACTATCAGTTGATACTTTGACATTTGACCTCCGGCCTGTACTTCCGGTTTTATAGCGTTCCGAAAACAGCCGAATTCGCAACTTTGGACTGCTCTAGCATATGACCTAAATAACCTAAAGGGTCATTTTTTTCGGATTCTTAATGTGCTTCCCATGCTCTTTCCAGTGATATATAACAATTGTACTTTTAAAGCAAAATTGAAATTCTTGATTTTTTCAAATTCGAGTGGTTTTTTACCATATTTATGTCTCTTTGAGCTTAATGTATGTATATCTTATGATCTACTTGATGTAGAACCTTGAAATTTGGAACACAACTAGACATGTTAAATATGGATTCACTTATGACAAAAAAGTTGAGGTGGGCGTGGCACATCCGGGTTGAATTGCTAATTGTTTACATTTAGAGGAAGGGGCATTTCTCGCATAGGATACATTTGTTCAAAAAGGGACTTTGCACACAATTACCTCATCCTTTTGGCTAGTTTGTGTTAGCAACTCAGTTATTTCAGCTTTATAGTTCCAAAAAAGGAACAGGTTTTAAAATTTCCATATTTTCAATTTTCGATTTTGATCTTTTTTGACTTTTGTTGACCTATATCTTTTGACCTGCATGATGTAGAAGCTTGACATTTTGAACATAGCATCACAATTTAAATATCAATTAACCTATGCAAAAAAAATTGAGGTGGGCGTGGCACATCCGGGTTAAATTATTCATTATTGACATTTTTGGCCAAAGGCATAACTCGCAAAGAATACATTTGTTCAAAATGGAACTTTCCTCACAATTACGTCATCCTTTGAGCCACTTTGTCTTAGAAGGTCAGTTAGTTCAGCTTCATAATTCAAAAAAAGGAACAGGTTTTGGAAATTTACAATTTTCAATTTTTGACCTTGACCTTTGATGACCTTGACCTTTATTGGGTCAAAGGTCATTGACCTTGTCTATTAGTTTATGCTTTCATATTTGACCTTTGACGTCTACTTCCGCTTTTATAGCTGTCCAAAAACATCTCAATTCGCAAATTTGGACTGCTCTAGCTCGTGACCTAATTAACTTTAAGGGTAAATTTTTGTGGATTCTGAATGTGCTCGTCGTGCTCTTTCCAGTGATATATAATGCAAAATTGAAATTTCTGAATTTTTGAAATTTCGGTGTTTTTTTACAATATGTTAGCTTCTTTGAGCTAGTTCTATGTATTTCTTATGACCTATTTTCTGTAAAAGCTTGGAATTTGGAACACAATGAGACATATTAAATATAGATTGACGTATGACAAAAAAGTTGAGGTGGGCGTGACACATTAGGCTTAAATTACTTATTATTTTTATTTTTATCAGGGGTATAAATTGTATAAAATACATTTGTTCAAAACAGGACCTTGCACACAATTACCTCACCCCTTTGGCCATTTTGTGTGAAAAGGTCAGTTGTTTCCGCTTCGTAGTTCACAAAAAATAACAGGGTTTAAATTTTGCAAATTTTCAACTTTTGACCTTTACCATTGATGACCTTGACCTTTGTAGGATCGAAGTTCATTGACCTTGGCTAAAGATTTATTCCTTCATACTTGATGTTCATCGTAAACTTCCGGTTTTATAATGTTTGTATTTTCAAAGTTTGAAGACTCATATCTAGTGACGTTGACCTTAAATGACCTTCCCCTTAACATGGTCAAAGGTCATTGACCC